TAAAGGAGCAACCCTTAGCCAAGACCTCCCCTTCCAATCACCAGAGGACCTTTCTATAAGGTGCATCCTCATGATAGAATAGTAATTTCTGTGGGGAGTTTAAGACATGTGCATTTTGCACAATCTCTACTGGGGACTTTGAAAAATGTCATTATTAATATAATCTCATGTGTAGTATTTTCCGATGGTTGACAATGACGATCATATGAAGGAATGAAGCCTGCATGTAGAGTGAGTTTCTATTGGTGGTGAAGAGGAAATTTCGAAGACAGCAGAACTCATTCTTCAAGATGATTTCTATGGCTTGAGTGTGTTTCCTGAAATTCAGATCTTGGAAACTTAATTACCAGTGCAATAATGGCTGGGAGGGGGAGGCTAAGAAGTAATTGAGTCATGGGGGCTGTACCCTCGTAAGTGGATTGACATTATTATCAAAAGAGTGGGTCAGTTACTAGAAGATTGGGCCTCCAATTGTGTTCTCCCCACCCCCTATCTCTTACATGCTCACTTGCCCTGACATCTTCCACATGAGATGATGCAGTCTGAAGGCCCTGGCAAGATACCAACATCTTGATATTGGGCTTTCTAGTCTATAATACCTTGACAAATAAATTTATTTTCTTTATACATTTCCTAGTCTGTGTCATTATGTTATAGCTACACAAAATGGAGTAAAATAGAAGATTAGAACCAAGAAGTGTGGCTATTGCTCTAACAGATAACTGGGAATGTGTAGGCATCATTGGAAATGGGTAATGGGTAGATGCTGCAAGAATTTGGAGGTGCAGTCTAGAAAAAAAACTAGATTGTTGTAAGTGGAGTGTTAAGGGTGATTTTTGTGAGTATTCAGAAGAAGAGAGGACATGTGGAGAAAGCCTGGAACTTCTTAGAAATAACTTTTGTGGTTGTGAATAGTATGTTGTAGGAATATGAATCTTAAAGGGCTTTTTGATGAGGTCTCAGATGGAAATAAAGTACAAGATATTGGAAAGTAGGGTAAAAGCTATCCCTGTTACAAGGTGGCAAAGAACTTGGATGAGTTGTGCTCATGCCCATTGGCTTTATAAAGGCAGAATTTAAGAGGTAGGTGGTATTAGGTAGTATTACATTAATAGCTAGGATACCTGGTGGGAGAAATTTCTAAAAAAATATATAAGGGACTTCATGTACTTTTAACCACATGGAATAAGATGTAAGAGAAAAAAAAATAACTTCAAGATAGAATCTATATTAAAAAAAGAAACAGAATGGAAAGGCATGAAAAGTTTGCAGACTGGCTACATGAAAAAGTGAAAAGGTATGCTCCGAAGTACAAGCCAGGGGTGTGGCCAGGAGACCTTCCACATAGAATGTATCATCAAGACAATGGAAAAATTACCCCAGACATTGCAAAGATCTTTGGGGTACTCCTCCCATCACAAATCCAGACCTCTAAAGTGATTTCAGGGCATGTACCCATGGCAACTTTTACATGCTAACACCTAGAGCCAAAGCAGGTCTTTGCTTCCTGAATTCCAGTGTAGCTGCCACAACTGTGACTCAAAATAGGCCTGAGGGTAGCTCATGCCATCATTCTGAAGAATTAGCAGTGAGAATTGGTGATGTTCCTATGCTGCACACTCTGTAGATGTGAAGAATACTAGGGCTGGGGGTGAGGGACCTCCACCTAGGTTTTGAAGGATGTTACCAGACAGCCTGAAGAAGCTTGCTGCAGGGGCATATCCACAGTAGAGAACCCCCACTGGGGCAATGCCTGGTGAAGCAGTGACAGTAGGACAGTCCCCAGGACCACAGAGCTGTAAGACCACCAGCATGCACCAGATGCCTGGGAGAGCTGTGGGCACCAGGCTCCAAATCAAGAGAGCTGAAGTGTGGTCTGAGTCCACCAATGCCACAGGAGTAGGATTGCCTGAGGCTTTGGAAGTCTAAGCCCCACCCCAGAGTGTCCAGGAGGCAGGATGTGGAGTTGAAGAGATAGTTTTTTTAGGTTAAAACTCTAACTTATTCTATCTGTTTGGTTTTAGACTGACTGAAGTCCAGTTACCCGCATCCTGCCTATTTTTCCTTTTGGATGAGAATGCCAATCCTATGCCTGGCCCACCACTGTGCTTTGAAAGCATGTGACTTGTTTTGATTTCACAACTCTAAGCTGGAGAGGAGTTTGTCTCAGAATGAGTCATGCTGGGAGTCTCACCCTTATTTGATTTATACAAGATCCTGGACTTTGGACTTTTCAGTCAATACTGGATGAAATGAAGATTGGGAGGACTATTGGGATAGAATTAATACATTTTGTATTGTTAGAAGGTCATGAACTTGGGGGGCTAGGGATAGAATAATATGGTTTTAATGTGTTCCCAAAGTTTGTGTGTTGGAAACCATCTCTACTGTAACAAAGGTGATAAGTGGGGCCCAATAAGAGGTGATTTGATAGACCAATGTAATTATCATGGGAGTTGGTTAGTTATTGAAAAAGTAGATTTGCCATAAAAACAAGTTCAGTCCCTTCTTGTTTTATTTATGTATTTATTAATATTTAGCAGTGCTGAGGTTGGAATCCAGGGTCTCATGAATGCTAGGCAAGTGCTCTACCACTGAGCTACAACCCTATTCCCTCACCTACCCTTGTTCCTGCCTTCTGTCACAGGATGACACAGCATGAAGACCCTTGCCAACCATTGGCACCTTGATATGGTACTTGCCAGCCTCCAGAACTTGGAAAAATGTATCTGATTTTCCTTCCCTCCACTCTCTTTTTCTCTTTTCTCTCCTCCAGTATTGGGGATTGAAGCCAGGACTTTGCACATGCTAGGCAAGGGCTTTATCACCAACCTTATCACCAGCCCTTTTTAAAAATTTCACTCGGACAGGTTCACATTAAGTCACCCAGGCTGGACTTGAACTTGTGGTCCTCCTGCCTCAGTCTTCCAAGTAGCTGGGATTATAAGCATGCACTATCACACTTGGATTCTTTTCTTTATAAATTATCCAGTTGGTGTTATTCTGCCATAGCATAAAAAAGAGTAAAATAATAATATTGGGAGTGGAACCATAAACCTAGTTGAAAATTCTCCTGTCCCATCCCTTGGATCTCAGGGCTTCCAGAAGAAAAAATAAATCAATAGCAAGATGCTTGAGTATCTCTAAAACAATGTGGTATAGTGGTGTGATCCATGTTAAAGAGCAAAAACCTAAAGCATCCTCCTTTCTTTTCTATTTTTTGTTCTTGGCCTCACATTAGAAGCTATACCTAAGTTGGAAGGGAGCCCTTGGCTGCAGGGCTGGTCAACATGAGTTGAAGGCTGTTTTTGACTTCTAGCCTCTAGAATTGAAGGATTTCCCATAGAGAAAGATGAAATTCCACCTAATTTGCTCCTGATCTTGTCCTTGGGTCGATAGGCTGCTATTCTGAGACTCGAGTCTGGCTCCTGAACAGCTGGGAGTGGGCAGACTTCTCTTCTGAACATCTAATCATACGGTGTGGCCAGGCTCTGACCTGCAAAAGCCTGGGGAAGAGAGAGGACCAGATGTGACTCCAAGCAGACATTTGGCTGGTGGATGACTTCGGTGTTCATTCTCGTCTGGGCATCCTTGCCAGTGATTCTCAGTCCTTGGATGCGACCTGGCAGGAGGGGTAGAGGGAAGAGGGAGGTGGAAGAGGCTTGCTGTAGGAGGAAGCCATGGAGGCATTTGAAGATAGAGATTGCGTGCAGCCACGGTCAGGCTTCAACTGTGAATCAGCAGTTCTTCCCGGCTGGTGAGGGACATCCTGTAGCTTTGTGAGAAACAGAAAACAGCCAGGTTCTAGGGCAAGCTTCCACTCAGGTATTTGGAGTCTTTGGAGGAGTCTGGGATGGCCAACCTGGGGCTTCACTTGGAGGAAATAACAATAACAAAACAAATGCTGCTTCATTTTAGGGCCAGGTATGTCTTAAGAAATAAAAATGGATGAGCCCTGACCATATTTGACTACCGGATATGCATTGACTGGTTTTTATAAAAAATTGAATTTGAAGTGCTTTCTACGGAGCATGCACTTTCTCCTTTTTCTCTGTGCCTGACTTCCCTATTATATTACACCCAGCTGAGTTTAACTTTCATCTTGTTGCCTGGGCCTTGTTATTCTTTGAGCTGTTTGACTCCTTTACTTCATTTGTGAATCCATACAACAACTATAGTGGGCAGGTGCTATTCTTCCAGCTTCCTCAGTTGAAGAAACTGAGACTGAGAGAGAATAGTGATGTGGCTGGGGTGGGCCAGACTGATTAGCATCAGAGGCAGGGAAAACCCTGACTGGTGGACTACAAAGCATTTACTTTCTTCCCATACATTAGATATAGTCTCTGGGAACCTACTGTCACTTCCCCTTCACCCCAATTTCCCAATGTCTCTCTCACTTTACCCTCTTACACACACACACACACACACACACACACACACACACACACATACCATTGGCATCACTGGATCTGGAGATACACTGGTACATTTCTCTTCCCTCTCCTCCTCTGGCCTCAAGATGGCTTAGAATCCAAGGGGGGAAGAACTTTCCCTGACATTTAATAATGTTGAGCACCTTTCATACACCCATTGCCCATTGTAGGTCTTCCCTGGAGAAATATCTGTTCAATTCTCTTGCCTATTTTCTAATTGGGTTATTTGTAGGTATTTTTGTTTTGTTTTGTTCCAATTTTGTTTGGTTTTGCTGTTGAGTTGTAGAAATTCCTATATAGTCATCAAAATGGAGTGTAGAATGTTGGATTTCAGGGATGTTAACAGGTATTAAGTTTTAGTTCTATTAGATAAATAATTTCCAGACATCTGCTGTACAACATTGTGTCTATACTTAACAATACTGGATTGTGCACTCAAAATTTTGTTAAGGAGATAGGTCTCAAGTAAAGTGTTCTTACAATTAAAATAAACAAACAAAAAACAGCAACAAAAACTTCCAGGAAGATGAGAACAATTGGAGGATTGAATTAATATTGCATTTATTTTCCAGGGTTTTTGGACAAGCAGGTAAAATCTAGTACTGTTTGGTGAGAATCTGTATACCCTTTACCCTTCCCAATCTTTTTACTGAAGGTTGACTCAGACCCAGCATTGAAAAATTTATCCTGAAGGAAATCCCAAGTTTCAAGCACAGAAAGTTAATAGCACAATTTTGCATTTAGCTCTAAGCCATCACTGTGAGGCTCTGCAAGTTCTGGGGGTACTGTTTATGTTTTAAAAAGCCTTCTCAATTAAAAGTGTCCGGTGCATCTTTGGAGTCTGCATCCCTGTGATCTGTGATGACACAGCAAGTCACCCAGCAGCAGGTAATGTGCAGTTTGGGCTGATGGCTGCTGTCTACTGAGCAAAATGCTATTGGGCCCAAATTACTTTCTGCACAAGTCTGAATGAGTAACCCTGTCATTCTGACCCCTCAGGCCAATGTCACTCAAAGGTCTAACCTTCCTTATCACTCTGGCAAAGTGTATTTTTCTGTGATAAAAAAGAAAGCATATTTATTTCCCTTCAAGAACCATTTTTTTTTCTCTCCATATTGAAGGCCAGGGGTCATTTTCTGGATGTCAGTGAAGCATGGGAAGGCTTAATAGGCACTGGGATGAGGTCTGCCTGGATACTGGGAAAGATTTCACATGTCACCTTGTCAGATCTGGAAGAGGGTGTTGCCCTCTCTTCTTGTTCTTATGGAGGAATTCATTTTGAGGGGCTTATGCATGTTGATATTCAATGGCCATATTATTTCATGGCGAAGTTCAAAGCTCAGGACAGATGTTCAGCTTTCTGACAATTTGCACATTCAAATCAGCCCTGATTTTCATCTGTGTAGATTTTGATGTTGGATCGCTCTCTGCCAATGTCTTCCTTTGGTGATTCCTGCAGGTGAAAAATAAAGCAGTCAGGTGTTCCCTTTGAATGGCCAAGGTATCAAAGCTGATAGCCTTTTCCCATTGGTAAATTGTATCCTTCCTGCCTGATTCAGGCCTCACTGATCACCCCTTCTAGGATCTAGTTGTGCCCAGCAGAGGGGTCTAATCCAGAGGGTGGACTTGGTATCCAGAAGGGACAGGTGGAAGATATAATATTAAAAACAGTGATGGAGAAATGGTCATGCCAAAGGAGGATTGAAGTTTCTTAATGGGAAGCGAAAGTGAAAATCAGAACCCAAACTGGGTTGGCATCAAGGAGTTGACCTGAGCATAGGTGTGAATTTGGATAATAAAATAGGGTCAAAAATAGCAATGTGTATTCTTCTCAGAAACTGGAACCAAAATAAATTCTCATGAAACAGCATGATTTGGTGGTTGATAACTGAAGGACGTGTCTATTTTGTATCCAGGCATCAGTCTAACAGGCAGAAGGATTTAGCCATAACGGCCATCATGTGGCAGGGCCCCTACCTCTTCTCTCCTCACACCCCTTCACCCAGTTGCACTCAATTTCTTTCAGCCTCTCAATTGCCAGCCTCACTGTCAGCACTTCCTTTTCCACAATCTCTCTTTCTAGAACATTTTAATCCCAGTCTCATCACTTCTTTATTTTAGGCATGGCTCACTTTCTCTAGAAAACCATCACTGACCACCTTTCCCTCCTCAGTTTTGGCTAAATGCTTCCTCCCAGTGCCCTCCTAGCTGTACTTGATCTATCCAAGCATTTCCTCCCAACGTTTTACAATTGCTTATTCATTGTTAGTCTCCTCCTACAGACTGTAAGTACCCAGAAGGCAGGGACCATGTTTATATTGCTCTTCCCCATTCTTATACCTAGGAAAGTGCCTGCCCTCAGTAAATAGCAAACAGAATTTTATTTATTCCGGAGACACATTATTTCCCTTACTCTGAAGAGAAAATCAAACATCGTTTCTCATAAGAAAGAGCAAGGTTAGCACTATAAATGATCACTGTATTGTCCAAATGAATTAATCTTGTTTTCTCAGCAGTCTGCAAGTCCCTTGAAGATAGAAACTATGTTTTCTCCTCTCTTCCTCCCCCAAACGCTATCTCCTTTCACAAAACCCATCATAGAGTTGGACCTACGATAGATGCTCAATTAAAAAATGTGTCAGATTTCAATGCTTAGCTTTTGAAAAAGAGGGATGATCTCTCCTTTAACACATTAAGTAATGTGCTTCAAAACTTGTCTGTGTAAAATCAGACAAAATTCCTTTTTAAAATGAGAAAACGAGACTTTAATAGGTCTTGCCCTCTTTCTTTCCCCACAGAAGATGAAGCAGACATTTCATTCAGTTGGAGATGCTGTCTGCAGCAAATAACCCTTGGGATTTGAGAGGATTATTTGGCCACTGGAGGGCTCTTCCGTTTTCCCATGTAATGCAATTGAAGCCTATTCAGAATGACTGAATAATTAATGCCACATTGTACAAAGTGTGCTCCCCAGCTCCTATCACAATTTCTTTAAATGCAGAATTTCAAGAAGACCAGACTTAATTTACTGTGTGTTTTGCTTCTTCAACAAAAACATGAGATGAATAATTTCCCCACATCATGGCTTTACATTTCCTCATAAATAGGGCATCTGTTAGCATGGATTATTATGTATGCAATACTAACGTAATGAGGTTCAAACACTCACCCAAAAAAACTAATTTTTTTAAAGGGAATGACTCATGGAAAAATAAGAACAAGAATCAATGGAGAAAAGTGAAAAGGAAAATCTGATAAAGACAAGTTAAGAGTAGAATAGGAGTAAGCATGATACTTCAGGGTACCACTGAGAATGGGTAACAATGGTTCCACAGCATTTATTATGGGCCTACTGTATATTGAGCATTATGCTAGCTACTGGGTATACAAATACCAGCTAGTGATAGTTTCAATGACAGCCAATCCCACTAAGGATCTTGAATTTGTCTTGTTCACTGCTAACTCTAGAACCTGAGATCAGAGCCTGGCATACAGTAGGTATGCAATAATGTTAAATAGGTAATATTTATTGAGTACCTTATAGATGCTTTAGATTATTTTTAAAGCTTTTCATCTCTAATACTCACTATACTCTAAAGTTAGTAATACTTCTATCTTTATTTTACACAGAGAAAATTGAGAATAAGTGGCATTAATTAAGTTACCCAAGGTCACTAGAAATGGATTTTAAACCAAAATCTGTCTGACATCAAGTTTGGTATAAAATATGTGCTTCCAGTCATTAAGCTATGCTCCATATAGATGATAGTCTTACAATCTGTGCATTCACACCTAGTACCAGAAATAAATGTGCAAGCAAGTAGCCAAAATAAAAATAATATAATTGGAGAAAGACACTTCTGTTGTATCACTTATCTGCCTAGAGAATTTTGGAAAGACTTCATATAGGAATTAAAGTTTGATCTAGTTCACAAAGATGATGTGAAGCAGAGTCACAGCTGATCCTTTAAGACATGTTTCATGGGTGAAGTATAGACTATTATTGCTTTGGATTTGGGGGGATCATTTGTTACTCACAATGACCTATATTATCCTGACTGCTATACCATGATAACCGAGCTTCTTTCAAAGTGTGGTAAAGGGTAATTATATATTTTTACCTTTTGAAGTTAAATAAACACACAGACATAGAAGATTGTGTAGCACAATAGTTTTTATAAGCTTAGTGTACTCACATAGAACAATTACAACAATAGAAATCTAGAATTTTATCTGCATCTTGGTAGTCTCATGCACTTAAAACAACAGAAATTTACTCACTTTATAGTTCTGAAGGCAAGATGTCTGAAATCAACACATTGGTAGGGTAAGCTCCTTCTGCCTAGTTTGAGGGACACTTCCGTGCCTCCCTCTTAGCTTTTGATAGATTTTGGCAACTTAGCTTATCAATACATTGCTCCAATTTCTGCCTCCATCTTCACATGGTCCTTTCCTCTGTGGGTCTCAAAAATCTCTCTCTCCTTTGTTTTATAAGAACAGAAGTCAGCATTTGGGCCCACCTGAAATCTAGGACCATCTCATCTTGAAAGCCATGTGTTCATCAGCTTCCCGTAGCTTTGACAAAACACATGAGATAATCAATTGAGAGGCAGGATAGGCTTTGGCTCACAGTTTTGAAATTTTTAGTCCTTGCTTTGTTTGACTCATTGCTTTTGGGCCTGTGGAAAGGCTGCATATCCTGACAGAAGCACATGGTAGAGGAGGCTGCTCATCCTACAGAAGCCAGGAAGTGAAAGAAAAAGGGACAAAAAGTGGGCTGAAGTTTTAACATCCTCTTCCAGGGCATGACCCCAGTGACCTCACTTCCTTCTATTGGGCACTACCTTCTAAAGGTTTTACCACCTCCCAGTAGTGCCACAGGCTGGCTACCATGCCTTTAACATAGGGCCTCTGTAGACACTTAAGATCCAAATTATAGCAACCCTTAACTTACTTACATCATTTTTTAAAAACCTTATTTCCAAATAGCTCACCTTTAAAAAGTATCTATGGTGTGGCAGGGGGGTGGGGGGCACAATTTAATCCATTACAGGCTCCTAATCACCACCCTCCTCCAGGCTAATGATGTTCTATTTCACCTGCTTTTCAACTTCACACAAATAGAAGACTATAACTTGTACTATTTCATGTGTGACCTTTTTTTTCCTCAAAATTATATTGTGAGATTCATTTTATTTTTGCACATAGCTCTAAAATTTATTATCATTGCTATATAGTATTTCCTTGGGTGAAAATTACATAGTTTATCCATCATAGTGTTAGGGCCATTTATGTAGTTTTGAGTTTGGTGTTATTACAAACAATGCGGCTCTGAATATCTTTGCACATTTTTAAAAGGCCAGCTTGTTCATGAATTTATGTGGGAAACACATCCAGGAGAGAAACTGCAAAGGCACTGAGAATACGCATGGTCTGTTTAGTAGAATTGCCAATCAGTTTTGCGATGTAGTTATACAAGACATTGGACGGTTTTAAACACAGGAGATTAATTAATGCATTTAAAAAGTCACTGGCTGCAGGGATACAATGGCACAGAGATTTAGCTTCAACATAATATTCACAAAGGAAAGTAGTAGGAAGCAAAGTTGAAAGAAAGCTGCCATCAGAGTGGACAGTGTTTCCTAACTTGCAGCCTATAATTGTGGTCTCCTTTTGTTAGGAAGAAAGAGACATTTTTAAAAGTAAGAGAATGGGGCTGGTGGGGTAGCTAGTGGTAGAACACTTACCTAGGATGCATGAGGCCCTGGGTTCCATCCTCAACACTACAAGAAAAAATGTCAGAGAATGGCATTATTATATTCATCCTTCCAGAAGATGGATGAAAACCTGTTAGAAGAGGAAATTAGACCTTGAGGGGGGTGATCCCATGATTGTCATGAGAGGATACAGAATCAGATGGGAAGATGGGAGGAATGTCACTTAGTGGAGCACACACACAGATCCTGGCATCTCTCCCAGTGTGCTGTGTAGAAGGGATGGAAGATTGATTGGTACCTTTTAGTAAAGAATACTTTGGCTGGGCGCAGTGGCACAACGCCTGTAATCCCAGCAGCTCTAGAGCCTGGGGCAGGAGGATCATGAGTTCAAAGCCAGTCTCAGCAACAGTGAGGCACTAGGCAACTCAGTGAGACCCTGTCTTTAAATAAAATACAAAAGATGGCTGGAGATGTGGCTCAGTGGTTGAGTGCCCCTAAGTTGTCTGGGGGCAGTGAGACAGTGACATAGACTCAACCTGCCATTCTCATACCCATGTTCTGCATGTAGCCTGGTAGATGTTGTAATGTCTGCAGTCCTGGCTACACCTACCAAAGACTTTCATTGTGGGGCAATGGGTAGCTCTGTGTTATGAACATGTGCCTCTGGCTGCATTGAACAGACTCCTGAAGCCACCTACAAATGTGTTTTCATCACTGTATTCTTAAATGTAAAAAAAGAAGAGAAAATTGAATCTGAACTCATTCAGTATTTAATAAAAATGTTTATTAACCCACAAAGTCTCAGCAAGTTGTTAATTTGATTAATGACACACGTCAAGGGAAATAGGGAGGTTGGGAGAAGGAAACACTTGATCAAAGTGCTGGGGTGTCAGGGAAGATGATGGTGGAGAACATTTTAGCTGGGTTTTGAAGGATGAGCAGAAGTTCTTAGAAGGAGAAAGGCCTGGGGAATTGAGCCTGGAGAGTGACTGTAGGTGAAGGCAAGGAAGGAGGAAGTTCATTCCCAGCAGAAGAAACAGCACTCGTAGATACCAAGGGATGCAAGATAATAGGCAACAGGCATTGTTCATACCGTGTGCCAAGCATTTGCTAAGGACTAAGTCAGGCTTACTCCTTGGATCTTGCCCACAATCCAGCAAGGCCAGAACACTTATTATCTTCATTTTATAGATGGAAAAACAGAGACTCAAAGCAGCCTAGCTAATTAACCCAAGGACACAGCTCCTAGGAGATAGAAACAGATCAGAGATTCTGACACTAGGTCCCAGGCACTAGTCAGTGAGACTCCTCTATCCTGAGAAAGCAGTTGGAATTGGTAGGGGCACTGAGGTGGGCAGCTTGGGGCCTTCTCCTGATGAAGTCATGTCAGGCAAACTCTTTATTCTCAGCCTGATGCCTGGCAGCAGATGATTTTCCAAAATTCTCTTCCAGCTTGAGCCCAGAGAAATAGGAATACCACTTTAAGATTTTGAAAAACACTGATGACATTTACCTATGTTGATACATAGGAATAAAAATAGCCCCTCCTGCCCTCCTCATTTAACCCCTTCTCTTTAGCTCAACATCCCTCAATTTTGCCCCTGCTCCATTTTCCCCCCTTTGAAGATGCATCAGGTCTCAAGTTCAGCTTAATCCAACTGCTAGATGTATTATTCATTTCTACGCTTTAATGATGTGATAAGGTTTCTGGAAATAGGAAAAGGCTCATTAAACTGTCATTTGAATATAGATCACACCTAAATTCTAAGGAAGACAAAGTCTGCCAGCCGAGGATGCGTTTGCCTTCCCAACACAGCTCTCCACAAACTGGGAAGGCAGAAAGACGCATTTCAAAGACAAGATCCCTCAGATTAGCATGTACTCTTGATTTATTCTGTAATTAACGGTAACTCACAAACAGAATGAGGGATTCAGAGAGACAGAATAAATGCAGGCCAAATGAAGAAGGAATCTGGATGTCAAACACAGTGAGATGTGTGTTTTGTCCCTATCTGTGATCAGCGGTTTGATCAGGCAGGCTCTATTTGAAGTAAGGGAATATGTAGGGATTTTAATTTGACTTGCATGGTTTAGAATACGTCATCCCTGCCTGCAGAAGATGATTTGAAACAACAACTTGCCTGTAGATTTCCTTCACTGTTTGCTTTCAGGTTTGAGAGGATGCTAGAAACGCAGGAGTGCAAAAGAAGGATTCAGTGCCAGAGGCTGATGGAACTGGGAATATTCCCATCCATGTCTCCATCTTTCAATTCATAAGAGATCAGAAAATAAAAGAATTTTAACCTGTATTAAAATCTTGTCACGTACCAAACCCTGGTTTATGTACTCAACACATAGTTTCTGAATTACTTCTCACTGCCACCTTGTGAAATGGGTCAGTTGTCCTTAGACAACAGAGGCCTCTATTTGGACTCTGTTTGAGTGGCCTATTCTGGCCCTCTTTACTCGTGTTGCTCCCAACTAGACAGTAAGAAGCTTCTTCACGAGGTGAAGAAGACACACCAGCCATCACCTGGGATCCTGGGGGTCCCTTTCTCAACATCTCTAAGCACAATCCAGATTCTGAGTGGGCCTCTTGCCAGGTCTGTCCACATGGCATGTGTGTAGCATGATCTTAGATCTCCAGGCCACAGGTGGCCACCCTTTGGCTGTGGACACAGAGTTTCATGTGGTCTTGGCTGTGAGCATGCAAGCAAGGACAGAGCCATGAGTGGAAAAAAAAGGGAGGAGAGTGAGCCATGAACCAAAGTCTGGAACATGCTTCCCATGTACCACCCCATTTGGAGATAACTTCCTGGAGTCCAAGAATTCTAAAGCCTTGTGCTTCCAGGTCATAAAACCACATTTGTCATGGTGAGAGGGTAGAACATTTTCCCCCCTTAATGCTTTGTTTGCTTAACTTTTATGGTTACACAGAGGCTGCCATTTTTACTCTTTTCAGTACTTCTAGGCCCTAAACATGCTCAAGGTAGATTTGATGTGGAAATACTAATATCTACATTTCACACATGGGAATATGAAGGGTTTAGTCACTTATGGGTAAATGTCTAAGTCAGAAATCAAATTCAGGAAGTCCTATTCTGGGTTCTATGTTCTCAACCAGTTCCTGATACTTCCTCTTATTGTGTGGCTATGATTTAAATATTGGAATCCCCCAAATTCACATTTTGGAGCATAACACCCATTGGGATAGAGTTAAAGGGGCTCTTTTGAGAAGTGATTAAGTCACAAGGGCTCCACCCTCATGTCCACTTCTTCCATCATCTGAGAGCACAGTAAGATGGTGCCATCCTAGAAGCAGAGAGCAGACTGCACTAGTCACTAAATCTGCTGGTGCTGTGCTCTTGGGCTCCGCAGCCCCTGGACTACAAGCAATACGTTTTTGTTGTTTGCATATTATCAGATGTGAGGTATCTTTTTATAGTAACCCAAATGGACAAAGGCGGAGAATCACTTGAGGAGACATCCATTCAATTCAGTGAATACTGGGAAGGGATTTGAACCACTGAAAAAATGAGAAGCAGCTTCCATGGGAAATCCCCTCTCTTGTATTGTTCTTAGGGGGAGCGGGATGGGACCCTGGGGGCTCTGAAAGAATGAGTAGAACATGTTTGTGAATAGAAGTGGGTGGAGGAAAACAAGAAATGTTGGAAACAAGAAAAGCTGCTTGAAACACCTCATTAGCAGCCTTATCAAAAAGGTTTAATTCGATCCTAAGGAAATAGATGAAGTCAATCAGACAAATCGAGAATGGAGGATGCGATAGGTAGACTACATAAACTCTGAGGTCCCTGTGTAATCCTCTTCCCTTGGGGGTGGCAGAGTCTGAGATTGATGGGACAGTCTGTTCTGAGTGTCCTAGAATATATGACAAAAGTGAGAGGGTTTTGTGGATGTAAGTAAAATCTCCAATCAGATTATGGTATAATTAGTTGGAAGGGAGATTCTCCTGGGAGAATCTGCCTCAGTTAGCAGGCAGACCTTAGATAAAGGCTTAGCCCTTTCCCTGGGAGAAGAAGCAGCTGCAGATATTCTACTATTAGCTATGAAGGAGCAAACTGCTCTGTCATGGAGAGGGCCAAGTGGCATGGAATAGTGGGTGACTTTTAAAAGTGAGGACCTCAGACCTATAGCTGCAAGGAAGTAAGTTCTAGCAACCAATGGGCTGGGAAGAGGGCCTGAGCCTCAAATGACAAGGCAGCCCCTACTGACACCTTGATTTCAGCCTTGTGAAACCCTGAGAGGAGGACCCAGTGGACTGGGACCCAGACAACTAAAACCTTGGAACTGGGACATAAGACATGGTGCTATTTTAAACTGATAAGTTTGGGGTGATTTGTTTTGCAACAATAGGAAACTGCAACAAGGAACTTTCTACAGAACCATTCACTGAGGCCCTTCAAATCACCCTTACAATGAAAAAACAACACACATAAGGGTGGTGGGAGAACTGCAGTTTAAAAGCCTTTATAGAGATCTGGGCACAGAGATACATATCTGCAATCCCAGTAACTTGAAAGGCTGAGGCAGGAAGATCACATTTTCAAGGCCAGCCTCAGCAACTTAGTGAGACCCTAAGCAACTTAGCAAGACCCTGTCTCAAAATAAAAAACAAAAAGACCTGCAGATATAGCTTGGTGGTAAAGCATCCCTGGGTTCAATCCCCAGTAATTACCCCCCAAAGTATCCGGAAAACAAACAATAACAATTTATAGCTGCAAGGGCACAGCAACATTGGGCTAGCAATGACCTGCAAATGCTCACACAGACTGAGATTTGGATACTCACCTCTGTTTTCCTTCCTTGTGAATATTCTTTTCCTTTCAGAGATCTCTGTGCTGCATTTGGAGCAGATGGTAGGCCTTGTGGCTTTAGATCTTTACATTGTCCCATTGAGGATAAAGACAGTTGCATGCAAATAATTATGCTGCTTTAGTTCTAGAGAAGTGACCTGTATCTCCCAGCAGTGGCGGGAAGGCCAAGGTTTAATGGAAGTACCGGGGTCATAAGAATAAATGTGAAAGGCCCACACCCAGCCTCCCTTCCCACAGCTCTGAGGGTGGGGGCATGAGCTGCTCTGGCAAATTTATAGTGATAGCACGATACCTTTGGACAAGGACAATGCTTTCGCAATGAGGAATTTGTACTCAAGAGGCCCTAGGGGAAGTTTGTCTGCAGTACCCAGCCTGTCATTTCCCCACATAGAAAAACCTACTCTGTACCAACCTACTGTCTCTTTACAGGAAGGAAAAGGTATCTGAAAACTGAATTCACATTAAGACATAAGTGACCTCTATTCAAGGTTTTGGCATTTAAAAAAGAGTGCTGGGTGAGTCCAATGTTAACCCACATAAGAGTATCTCTAATGATAGAATTTCTGTCATTGTGACATTAGAAGTCAATTTTAATATCCCTAGAGAGTTCTAATTATTTTACATATAGGGATAAGTCTATTAGATGAACTGCTAAACAATCCCACGCACACACATGCACGCACACACATGCACGCACACACACACAAACACATACACATGCACTCACATACATATGGAGAAAACAGCAGAATAGCAGTAAGAACTCTATTTGAGACAAGAAAAGGTTTGTTTGTAGAAGAATGGCTTATCCTTGCATTTGTTCCACAAATAGATATTCACCATAAAGTAAGGGCACATAGCAAGTCTGGCTAAAAACCTTGCTCTTGAGGACATACGTAAACATAGGAACATCAAACCATGGTTTATTAAATCCCTAAATGAACCTGGCCCCTGTGCTATATGACTTTTCTTATATTCGTTCATTCATATCAAAGTGTATGTAATTAGTTCCACTTTGTATATGGTACATCAGATCCCAGAGGGTTAAATAACTTCCACACAGTCACACACAACACATTCTATATTAGTCATGAATAAGGTGGTGTCTGATAACTGAATCACTGACAAAGAAATGGGCTATATATGGGTTAGAGAAATTTAGAGTTGAACATGTGAACTAGAAGAGTCAACTTCATGCAGAAAATGCCATTAAAGAAGGACCCCAAATCTGAGGGAGGATGAGTGAATTGGCTAGGCAAGGACACAAGGATGGTGTTAAGTGGACAGCAGGATGTCCACACTGGCCACACAGTAAGGATTCTCCTTTACTAAAGTAGTAGAAGACTAAGTGAGGGAGGAAGTGAAAGTATGAATATGAGGAGTTTGGGGTGGGCTGGTCTGGAAGCCAAGGGCTAGCCTCCAGCAAGTGCTCATCTAGGGAGTAGCTGGCAAGAGTCTGCCCAAGGTGGGGAGCAAGGAGCAATGGCAGTAAGTACCCATCTTATGGTGCTAATTTGCCACACTGTAGTGCTGGGAGAAGGAGAGGAAAGGGATGAGGACTGTTAAGACTGATGATGATGATGACAGTGTGCATAGCGTTCACCAAGCAGTTGCTATGCACCAACCCCTGCAGGAAGTATCACTCCGTGGAAGTATCACTCCATGTAAACTGGTGGCAACAGCTCTGTAAGATAGATACTGTTAGCAGCTCCTCTTTGAAGGGAGAAATGAATTCCAAGAGGTTAAGTGATTTGTCCGTGATCCCACAGTTTGTAAGTGGCAGGAACACAATCTGAGCCGGACAAAGAGCCAGAGCGGAAAATATGGAATGTTTCCCCAGCTGCAAGATTCCAAATGGGGAGAATCTTCCAGGTTTCCCTGTGCATTCCTCATCCTGCAGCCCACACCAGAGGGGCCATGACAAATGTGCAGAAAATACCAAGCCACCTAATTGAAAAGGATTTTGAAAATGTGTGCATGTTCCCCTGCAAGGAGGAATGCCAGCTCCTCATCCTGCTTCAGAACCTCTTTATCTTTTAACCATTTTCCCTTCAAATTTAACTCTGCTGCCTTCTGCACTGAGGATTACCTAAAGGCCAAGTCTGACATTCTTAATCCAACCATTTCTGAGTTATCCGAGAGCAGAAAAGGTACAGGGATAAATGCTTAAAGTGTTAACTCTGTAAGTGCCAGAAGAAGTCCAGATGGGAAGTTTCCTTCCTTGAGGTCACTGAAGACTTCAGACCTGTGAGATGCTCCTGTGAGCTGGAGAGTTACCAAATGATCCTTTGAGGTCCTTGGGACCCTTGTTTGTTTGGGCTATTCTGGAGAACTGCCTACTGATAAAGCATGGAGACACTCAAACTGCTGGAAGTTGTTATTTCCCAGAAAGAGCTTACCTGAAGGAACAGAACTCCTAGAAAAATACTAATTACAGATCCTAAGCTGTCCAGGAAAACCAACAGGTGCTTGTTTTGCAAACACCTCCTGAGAGTCCCAGTGGGACTGGACCGGAAAGAAGAGGCAACATCTCGTGGAAATTGTGCAAACTTAGTTATCACAGAGCACCTACAATGCACCAAACATTGTGCCCTGTGCTGACAGGTAAATCAACAATGAACCAAACAGACATTGTCTCCTGCTGTCATGGAATTAATGCTTTATTCTATTTATATGAAATTAAACCACATTTTCTTTTCAGCTACATTCTGAATAGCAACAGGAAACACCAGGGAGGCACAGAAGAAGTGGAACCTTTGCCTGGATTAACAGATATGAGATTCTAACACATTATTCATAGGCATAACTGGAACAATGATGGGGTGTCACACACAAACACACAAAAGCCCATACACACTCATAAAACCTTTATCTCATATGTGAAGGGCATGCTCTTTGTTTAGAATTAGCTGAAAGAAAAGCTTTCAGCTTTTAGAGTTTTAATAAAGAGAAACTATAGGATCCTCTCTATTGAGGATCCTATAGTTGGTTTGCAAAGACTTTCACATGTGAGAAAACTAGAGAACTATTAAAAAAATACAGTCAAGTCTTCCTATTATCCAGTCCACGTCTATTAAATTTAAACACAGATTCTGCCTTCTTAAGGGAGCAAGCTGCTTCTAAGAACTTGGCTTTAATTACTGGGATGCAGATGGGTACAAATAGATGCTGCCAGCTATAAATGAGTTGTATCCGTTCAATAAATTAGGTCTTGTCAGGAATATGTTATATGTCCTGAATTTCTTTATAATTACATCACTTTTGCATTTTATTTCTAAATTCACCTGAATTGCGGAAATTTACTCAACTAAACAAAAGCCTATTATGTTCAAGGTAGAGCAGTGATCTCTGGAGATAACACAGGGAGCAAAATAGTTCCATATGGCATGTGCCCACAGGGAGCTTACATTTTAGTGGATGATCCAAGAGCAGGTAAAAGAAAAATAAAACATGTAAATTAAATAATTGCAAGCTTTAAAAGATGCTAAGGCAACAGTAAGGCAGAGAATCCTGGAGCGCTCTGTATTAGATACAGTGGCCAGGGAAGGCTTAGGGATGCTCAAGGATTAGCTGCATTTTTGCCAGTCATGAGAACAGGGTTGATCTGGAGAAGGCAATGACCTTGGAGAAGGGGCATGTAGGGAACAGATTCAGGGGTGTTTGAATCTGTTCTTCTATCAGCTGATGTGATGAAAGAACAAGTGGAATTGAAGATAACTATTTATTTTCACTTGAGTAGAACTGAGGATGGGATGCCCACTGTGAAGGGAGGGAAAAAGACAGAATAGGGGAAACAAGTTCGATTATTTGATATTCAGAGGAAGAGGAACGTGATGTGTGATGGTTTGTTTTTTCAATAAAAGATGAAATCTCTGATCAAATGTTTTATTGTTAAAAAAATCTTTCAAAAAAAATCATTAGCTTCTTCTCAAACTCCCTCCCCCCAATATTTTTTGACTTGCAAATTGTCATTGAGTAGCCAGTTTCCCAATGTCCTCCTCTTAGTATTTTTACCTCTCTGCTTCCCCTCTCAGCACTTGTGCCATCTCTTCCCACACTTTGTGTTACTTTGCTCCAAGAAAGCAGACATCTGAGTGTGGCACATATACTCAAAGTTCTCCCCAGGTACAGATTCTACAGAAAGCCAAACCCAAAGGCACTATAAAATAAGGTAGAGTATGTTCTATTCTTTTAGTATCTCTACTTGTCTCCCACTTCATGGCACCCTGATTGCTCTGAACATGGAACATGGAACAGTTCTTCCTTCCATTGCCAATTGAATGGCCCTATTATACTAATCACCTCTTTCACCATGATTATCAACTCTTCCTCTCATATGTCAGACAAATGACCTAACCTTCCAAACAGTCTGGAAGGGCTTCAACATGCACCCAGGTGGATGGTCTCTGTATCATGCTAGGGTTTGTGCTATGTTAAAAAAGCTATGGAAAGATGTTAACAGTCTAAAAAACAAATATATTATCCCCCTGTAATTTCATGCTCGTATTTATAAATTCTGAGCCCTATCAGGTAAAAGGATGGTGGAACTCCAGTTTTAGAAGTTTGTGTTCAGAGTAGAAACATGAAAGAATGAGACATGGAGACATAATCTGGTTGAGGAGCAACAAGATTTACCCTGCTTCATCCTTCCATCACTCATCAATTCTTGTATAGCCTAAACACTCGATGAGCATTTAGAATGTACTCAATCACCTCTCTCAGGTTCTTAGAACTGGAAAATTTTTAAATGACTAGAAACTAATTATAGCAGAAGAGTAAGTAGAGCTAAACTCAAAGTGTGGTGGGAACTGGGACTTGGAAAGGACAGCTGTCCAGCTGCCAGGGGCCTGCAGGAAGAGTCGGCAGTACAGGTGATGACCAGGGGAGGCATTCACAGAGGAAGTGATCTTTAAACCATAATCTCAGTGATGTTATGTGGCCCCATGAAAGGTGACACAGGCGAGGAAGAGGAAGGAGAATGGGAAGAAAGAAACCATTAATGAAGATGAAGCAGAAGAAATATGCAAAAGTGATTGATGGATCTGGACAGGTTCTTTGCTTCAATTTTCATAAATGCCTTCTGTAACCAGTGTGTAAACCCCCATTTGTAAACGTTTCACTATATCTTTAAGCATCTCACTCTTCTCACTCTGCTTGGGCATATTCTTCCAAAAGGATGCCCCATAATGTTTAATTGGACTTAAGGTTACACGTTGC